TTTCTCTTTTCTAACTCGAGTGTTTTTTTAGCTTCTTTAAGTTGTTGTTGGTACTCCTCATCATAGTGCTGCTTTAATTCCTGATGAATATTCTTTGATTGTTCTTTGTTTTCTTCCATTCTTTGCTTGTGTTCATCATAATAAAGCTCCTTCAATTCGGTAGACATTTTGTCCTTCATATCAGTAAGCTGCTTTTGATGCTGTTTCTCCATCTGTTTCTCTTTTTCCTTCAATTCAGCTAAATGCTTATTGATAGCTTCTGATCTCTCTTTCTCTTTCTTTTTAAATTCTTGTTGTAATTGCATCATTTGTTGTTGATGCTCTTCATTTTTAATCTTCATTTGTTGATTAAATCCAGTTCTTAAGCTCTCCGATAGCAGTGCAATCTGCTGCTTTGATTCTTCCAGTAGCTGCTTCTTCTCTGCTTCAAACTGGTACTTCATTTCCTGTTGCTCTTTCTTGTGACTTTCTTTCAGAACTTCAAGTTGATTGGTTAACTCTTTAACACGTGCTGATTCTGATTTATACAACTCTTGAAACTGACTCAGTGTAGCTTGTAATTCTTCTTTAAACTGATCAGTTATTCTCATTGTTCTCTTGACCTGCCTCTCTGGTGGAAGATTAGTACAGACGGATTCATGATCAATCGTATCTTTACGAAAATATGCCATAGGGCAACCAAAAGGACACTTTACTTTAACGAACCCACAGCTGCCGTTCACTAAATTGGTATGTTTCTTTAGATCTCTTAACTCTCCCACCCACTCACACCCATTGTTGTGGTGGGTACAACGAACCTTCAAGTCAAGTATCTCGCTGTTGAGTCGTTTCTCTAAGAAACTATTGAAATTAGGTTCACGACAAGTGGGACAAGGTTGACTTGAATGATGTACACGTTGTATACAGTCACGACACATCTTGTTACAACAGCATGTGACAATATGAGGCTCTTTCATCACACAATGACATATTAGACAAATTAATCTATCAGGAGGTTGCTCTATGAATGTTGGTTCTTCTTCCTTTTCTTCTTCTTTATCATCTTGGAAGCTTATGGAATGAAATTCAGACTGTACAGCTGCACACTCCCCTCCTTTATCAGCCATTAACAGGAAGCATAATAACTATACTATATCCCAACTGAGTTTGACACCAGCCGCTTGGAATTTGAAAAATGTAGGTATACGTCACTGATGACGTCTTATAATGATATTCATAGAAGCA